CGCAGAAAGCACCAAACAGTGGCTGGGCCTTCTTGCCTTGGGAGTGCTTAAGCTCCCCTTGGCATTTTCAAGAATGTCTCCCCTATCTGCCTGCTATGCCCACCACGTATTTCGTTTATCCCTCACAGGTGAGTAGTGCCTAGCACAGTTTGGAAGTGTCCTGTGAGTGGAGAAGGCCTGGCTTCCTCTCCCCTGTCCTCCCAGCGCCTGGCTCCAGGGGCACGGCTGGTGGACAAGGTGCTTGCCCCTCACTTGCCCAGGCCTGGAGCAGTTAGCCCTGTTTTAACTCTCCATTGCCTGATCTCTGGATCCATCCTTGGGGCCAGGCCTTCTGGATGGACTAGGTGGTCTGAGCCACCCAGAAGCTGAGGGCATTATAAACGCACCAAAGTCTCTCTTGAAAGAACCCAAGAACCAAGTAAGAGGGGCATCCTCTGAGGGTGTGCTGGGAAAACCCATGTGTTTCTTTAGTTCTATCCCTTGCAATTACCTTATGGCCTTTTCCACCCTAGCTTTGCTCTTGGGTTGGTCCTCCCAATACTAGTCAATAAGCACTAATGAAAGAAGCTGGAGGGTAGAAATTGAACTTTGAAAGCCTTTTCCAATAAAGCAAGTTGAGATTTTTTTCGATGGTGGTAATGATTTCTTTCTCTTCTGGACTTCTTGCCTTATGGGCTTTTGTGGACCTAATGTTAGTCTGTCTGGGGGCTGGAAATTCCTCAAAGGAGTGAGCTCCTGGGCTGTAAGCTTCTTCAGAAGGAGAACCATGTCTTCTTTTTCCAATACTGTCTCATACAGATGGCATGAGGACCAGATGAGTTCCCTTGTGAAACACATCTGTATGGTTGTGGACAGCAGCACACAGAATGCTCCCATCTGTTTCCAATGACAAAGGAGGTCACTTTACACCCACTAAAGGCACTTACACCAAAATCTAAGAATGTGGTCAAGAGGACACACATAATCTTCCTTCCCCTATGTGACCTTTTTTAATTTAAAAATATTCAGAAAAGGCTTACATGCTTGAACATGGTGAACACTTAAACCATGTTTTTTGGAAAATTACTATAGTTTTTTTTTTTTAAAGAGAAGATTATATGAGTGTGGTGCAAAATGCCAAAGGGGGTAAGATCTTATGAGAGCTATCTAGAAATTATACCTGTTAAAAAAGTCTTCTTGAACAAGAAGTCAGGGGAACATGCCTGGGGAATCATCCCAGGGTAGTGGTTACACATTCAGGCTCTGGAACCAGGCAGACTTCATTTCAAAAGCTTACTCTGGATATTATCAAAAAGAGAAAAAAAATAACAAACGATGGCAAGGATGTGGAGAAAAAGGAAATCTTATACACTGTTGGTGGGAATGTTAACTAGTATAGGCACTATGGAAAACAGTATGGAGATTCCTCA